GGGGGGGGGGGGGGGGGGGGGGGGATCAAGAGGGCTCGTGGAGCCAAATTATGGACTGCCACAAACTGGATAAAGGACCAGATCCGGGGGGGGTGGGGGTCGGGGGGGTGGGGGGGGCTGTTCTCTGCCGCATACGGTGTTTCAACTAGGATTTAGTATCGTATAGTATGACCTATACATCGTCTATTGTATAGAATTTAGCATGAGTATGCATATGTATAGGCATTATAAACAGTATTAGTAGTAGTGGGCCCCGTATATATAGTGACGGTTGAATAGTGCCACACAGCAGTCCGCCGGTATAGTGCCGATCGAATCTCTAGACACATCATTACATGATGAGTGTCCACTCCATCCACCGCCGCCGTGTATATACATCCATCCATCCCTCCCTGTTCTGAATACTGCCGGTGGCCCGGTTAGTGCCGGTACAGCCTCTGGACACAATATACCGGCACTAGACAGGGCCCACAATAATAATACTGGATGCATTGTATACACACGCGTGCGTCTAACGAAGTAGTGTGTATGACTGGGTTTGTAAACTACGATACTAAAGCCAATATAAAAAGGAATTTACAGACTTTCCTATACAATGCTAAATCCTATACATCAAGCGAATTGAACAAACTGCATCAAGCGCCCGAAAAAATGGGGGGTGGGTGAGGGGGGGGGTAGCAGTACGTCCAGAAATTGGCTTCGCGAGCCCTCTTGGGGGGGTACGGAGGGGGTGACGCAAACGTGTTCGTTGCAAAACTTTCTACTGCACGACGCTGCTGCTTTCGCGCGGCCGGAGGGTCGGCGTCAGTCGGCGCAACTCGCGTGTGTGTGTGGTCCAACGACAAACGGCCGAACGGTGTTGGGGCATCACTCTCAACAAAAGACACCCCGTCGAGGTCGAAAAGCGTTTCTAACGCGCATGAACAAAGCAGGACTCCGCAAAACAAGAGTTCGGCGGCGCAGGAATTTTGCCAAGACTGACACACGTATCAAACGAATAGGGGGGATCTGTTGCGAAGAGAGAGTGGCTGGAGTGTAAGTGGGTGAAGAGGGGGATAGACGGCCAGCTTACTGTAAACTGTGCGAGTTGTGGCACCCTGCATCGACCGACTCTTCATAGCCCGACTGCTGTTACAGCCGAGAGAGAACCACCGCCGTAAAAAATATGATTTCGGAAAATCTCGCAACCACCGGCGAGCAAAAGAGGAGGTTTCGGATAGATCTCGTCGTGAGTTCTCCTTATCAGGACCTACCACCTAGCTATGGGGCTCCTTTTTCGCACCGCGTTGGTTGTGGAGAAATCGCGCTACTTTATCTACGGGAACCGACCCAGGGGAGGGGGAAGTGCCATCAAAACGCTATCAAACCAGGGGGCCTCCTTCTCACCTTGACCTTGGAGTCTGCGTTGCACTTGGTGTACCCGTAGATGTTCGCCCCGCTCAAGAGCAGCGCGATCACCACGATCACCAGCCACTGGAACTTGAGGAGCATGATCCCCGTGACGAGAAGGCAGACCCACAAGACCGGCGTGCCGTAGAGACCGATCCAGAAGAGCTTGTAGTCGGCGCTGTTGATCTCCGACATGTCCTCGAGGGACTCAAACACCCACTCCGTCGTGCCGTCCGCCGTGACGTTGCTCCACCACCGGAGCCCCACCTAAATAGTTGTTGTAATCGTGTTGTCGTTGTTGGATTTTTGTTCCCAGAACGCGGCCAGGAACCGAAAGAGCGGCGGCAACACGTGGTGGGTTTTGTTGGGTCCGAAACCAAGAGCGCGTCAGCAGAAATCGAGAGGAAATTGCTCGGCGGATGGGCGCCAGGGTGTCGCGTTGTCCTTAGGGAAATATTCCGCCGCCAAAGGTGGGGGGAACCCCACGGCCATTTTACGGGGGCAGAAAGAAATGCACGCACACGGTATGCAGATGCGCTACGTTCAGTCCACTACGGCGACAGGGAGGGCGACGCGGTGGGGGCGGGAAATCAGAAATGATGCAATGAAAACAACATCACATTCATTCGTTGTGCGACGCGGCCATGCCATAAGCAGCGGCTCAAGGCGCGGCAACCGGGAAAAAGAAAGAGATGGGAAACGCCGTGGGTAGGTGGGCGTCATGCTCAGGTGTCAACATAGTGCTAAACCAGCAAACGTCGGAAAGAAAACGCTTTTAATAACAGCCGGTTTTCCTCCACTCACTGAAAAGACTTCACCACATCCCTTCCGACTGAGGTCATATCTCGAACTGGTGGTCCTCTGTGAGGTTATGTAAACTTTCTAAAAGCATGCAACAGAAGTTTCGATTCAAGCGCCAAGACGGATGACCTGTCAGCTGATCAGCGCGGGCGATGCGAACAAATCAAAACGTGAAGCCCACCTGCACAGCGATAGACTACACACAGAGATACACGGACGGATGAATACCTAAACACCCACGGAGGCACACAAACAGACAAGACACAAGACACACCATAAGCCGGCCGGACACGTTCTTGACCGTCCAGAAGTCAAAGGCCAGCATGAGGATGCAGATGATGTACGTCATGACCGAGCTGGAGGAAACGAACTTGAAGTTGCCCATGACGTAGAAGAACAGGGCCAGGAACTTGAAAAAGAAGTGAAAGAACACCGTCTTCTTGTTCCTGGACTCTCGGATGAACCCGAGGTGCCCCCCCG